CTATGTATTGTGTTTTGCTTCATCTTTTTTTAAATTGATTTTTACAGAGAGAGAGGAAGGGAGCAAGGGAAAGAGAGAGAGAGACATCAATGTATTGTTCTACTTACTGGTGCATTCATTGGTTGATCCTTGTATGTGCCCTGACAGGGAATCGAACCCACAACCGTGGTGTATCAGGACGATGCTCTAACCAACCAAGCGACCTGGCCAGGGCTTGCTTTATCTTTTAACATTTACAGATATGACCTCTGCACACTGCCTCCATACATGTCCCTAGCCCCTGGGGACTCCCTCTAGATCCTGGAGAATTATCCGTCATCCCTCCCCACGGGGCAGTGGGGCGGGGGGGGGGGGCTGTCAGTTGGACAGACTGACAGATGGAGGAGTCTTGTTGTCCCTGTGGATCCTGAATTCCCACCGCCCTTGGCAGACCGTCTCACCCCGCGATCCAGTGGTCTTCTCCCCCTGCGCCCCCCACCCCGATGTTCTGAGCAGGGCAGATCCTTTTCCGGGCAATCTCACCCGCAATCCCAATCCCTAAGGCCAGCAGAGGCAGCGCCAGTGAGCGGCGCAGCGCCCACCACCACCACCACCGACACTGACCCCTCCCCCGCATCGCGGTTGCCCCTGCTGGCGGCCGCTCACGGTCCGACTCCGCGGCCTCTTCTCCCTAGGGGTGCTGCGCGGCCGCTGCTGTGCCCCCCCCCCACCCCCGTGTACAGTGTTGCCTGGCTTTCAAGTAAGTTGATGAGGAAAAGGAAGCTGCCCCTCAGGGACGCGGAAGGATGCAATGGACGTCGGTCGGTCGGTCGGTCGTACGTGTCTGGACGAGACCGAGCCTCTGACCAGCTCCGGTCGCTCGCGCCCGGAAACCCCTGGAGCGGACGTGCGAATACGTAGCTGCAGATGGCAGCGGTTCTTCCAAGGGCGCACCCTGTGTCTGCGGGACACTCCGGTGACGCAGGGGAACCCCCTAGTCACGACGGGGCGGGGGGTGGGGGTTGGGGAGCTGTGCCTGTGTGACAGCTGGTGGAGAACATCTCGGAGAGTGTCTGTGGTTTTCACTCCAGTGTACCTGATAGTGGGAAATACACTTTTAAAAAGTCAGGTTAGAAGCGAATGCTTGCAGAGCCCCTGACACGTCTGTGCCAAACGTGTCCCTTTTGGACACATGAGGAGGAGACTGTGGGTCAGGGTGGGGGTGGACGGGCCAAGTTCTCCCAGGGGGTGGCTGCCTGGCTTGCAGCCTGGAATGAGCACCATAGCCCACCCCTCTGAGATCCCTGTTGGGGGATTCCTATCGGATGCCCCCCCACCCCACCCCCAAACCACCTCCTTCTCCTGCCACAGCCCACCATGCGGCGGGTGAGCTGATCAGCAAGGCAACAAGACTGCCCGGTGGCCGCCCAGCTCTGCAGTTGTGCACCAGACAGGAGCCCCCCCCCACCTCGTGGCCCCCAAATGCAAGGCTGTTCGGAGGGGGAGGGGCTCAGGAGTCAAAGCAGGCTCCAGGCTGGATTCGCTGCCTTCATTTGCATGTGATGCTGCTTCCTGGCAGCCTGGATGGGGACAGTTTTGCAGCTCCGCTCTGCACAGGATAAGAGCCTGCGAGAAGCCCCTTTTCCCCTCCTTGGCCCTGGTCTCCCCTGCTGGGTGCTGACCGCACCCTCAGCCAGGACAGGACGGGGTGGGGCGGAACGCAGGGGACCCCCGAGGCAGCGCCGTGCACAGACGATGGGGAGCAAGGGCTGCCCCTGTGCAGGGAGGTCCCAGCCTTGAGTGGCTTTGCCACTCTCCAGTCCTGTCACCTTGGATCTGTGGCTCACCCTCTCCTCGCCTCGGGAGTCCTCATCTGGAAAACGAGGAAAACGACCCGCCCTGCGGGGCAGTGGAGAGGATGCGATAAGAAAGGGGCCAAAGGCAAGACCCAGCCTGGGCTTCACCCCTGTGCCGGGAGTGGCGCGGCCGTCCTCACGTTTGCTTTTGTTTGGCTTTGCTTTTAAGGAGTCACTATCAGACCCGGGCTGTGAGAGCACCGTCTCTAGGTTGTGGGTGGTCCTGATGTCCCTTGACACCTCTCGCCAGGGCAGCTCCCAGCTGCTGGTTGTCGCCCGTCTGAGAGGTGAGGGGAATGAGACCCAGCCCCAGACGAGTAGACTTTGTGAGCAGAACCCTCTGGGGCCAACTGGGGGTGGGGAGGGGTGCCTGCTGCCCCCTTTTTGCCTGGATGCTTGACGCTGTGCGACTCAGCCCCCAGCCAGCTTCCAGAGCAGCAGAAACGACGGGAGCCCCTCATCGCTGTGGATCCTTGGCACGGGCCTGTCGCAGCCCACATTTCCCGAGTGGCTCTCCGCCAGGCTGGCGTCTTGGCTGCTGGGCTGTGCCAGGATCTGCGTGAAAGCCCTGTGGGCTTGGAGAGAGTTCCAGGCGCTTGTCAGGACAAAGCGGTGCCAGGTCCCCCGGTGCTCACTCCAGCCCCTCCCCTCATGCATACGCACGAGAACATGTTCAGGATCCTGTGATCAGGGGTCAGTAGGGTTGCACTCGATCCACTTCCATTCCGATCCACGGTCTTTGGCGCCTACTATTGGCAGGGCCCTATAGACCCGATAGGACCAGAGGGAACAGTGGGACAGAGCCCCTGAGGGTCTTCCCTTGTAGCCAGGGGCTTTACAAAGAGCTGATCACCCAGCAGGAAATGGCTCGAGAGGCCCTGAAGAGCCGGTAGGAGCACATGGGAGGAGGCACAGCCAATCGGAGGGCTGAACAAGGCTTCCTGGGAGAGAGGACATGTGGGAGGGGCCAGGAGACGGGCAGGGTTGGGACAGAGGGAACAGCCTAAGGGAGAATAGAAACAGAAAAGATGGGGCGTGTTGGGGGCCAATAGTCTATTGGCTGTGCAGGGGGAGAAGTCGAAGTCAGGGCTGCGGAGCTAGGTTGGGGCCACATTATACAAGGTCTTAAGTGCCAAAGGGAGGAGTCTGTGATTAAAAGAGAAGGCACTAGGGAGCCATGGATAGTTTTGGGCAGTGGATGGGGAGGGGATATGATCCGAGAAATCTGGCAGCAGTACAGGCTGGGTCTGGGTGGAGGGGAGGGGGGTGGGGCAGGCACCAGGACTACTCACTGAAATCCCCTCTCCCCTGCCCCAGGCAGGCTGCATGTGATCCGTGGGGAACAAAGGGTGGGAGGGAACAAAGGTGACATCATGCCTCGGTTCTGGGAACAGGGTTTGAGGAGTCCCTGGGAGGGCAGCAATGCTTAACTGACAGCCCTTTGAAATGGGCCCCTTCCTCCTGCCTCCAGGACCCTCACGATGGCGAGGCTGGAGGGGAGGCTGAGGGTGCAGAGGTCCCCTGGGGCCTGCCAGGCGGACAGGCCATCCGACCAGGGCCCCCGAGTTATCAATAATGGTCTGAGGAACGGAAGGACGTGTGATGAGATGCGGTTGTCACAACAAGCCCGTCCCAGGGTCCCATGCAGCTCACCGAGGCTCACCCAGGAGACGAAGGTGGCTCCGGAGACGGGGGCTGAGCGGAGAAGGGATGGGGCAGCCTCTTTCTCAGTCCACGGTTCTAGGAAGAGCGGAACCGAGGGCGGTGGAGGCCCAGGCCCCGGCCTCCCAAGGGACCAGGACACGGGAGGCCGGGATGAAGGGGGAGTGAGGTAAAGGGCAGCAGGTGCCCGGGCCCCCTCAGAGCGGGTCAGCCTGCCCCCTGCGCCCACTTCAAGGGCCCCTCAGGCAGGGTTGGCTAAAGGCGCACCTGGGGTGGAGGGGGGGCCAGGGTGGGGGCAGCTGGCACCAGAGGGCTGGCGGAGGGCATGCGGGAGCCCTCACAGGCCCCGCAGCCCTCCCTGGACAACCCCATGGCCACCGATCACCGGGAAGTGGAGTATAAGCACCTCTGTGAGCCTAACGGGGTCCTCCGGGGTGGGGGCCTCGGGGAGTCCACAGAATTCAATCAGCCTGGCTAACCTGGCACCAAGACTCGTCTGGATGCAGTGAGGCGGGTGTAGGGGCCGCTGTGGGGGAGGGCCCAGGGGTGCTTTCCAGAGTCCGGCTGACACCCCACCACCACCAGCCACAGGCCCTGTGGGCCTTAGCTCCATGGTCTTCAGCTCCACGGTCCTCTGGACCGTCCAGGGGTCTGACTCTTCCTCCAGCGTGGGGCAGAGTTGTGGGTCCCCTGAGGGGGTGCCGCTTCTGGTAGAGAATGGGGGGGGGCTGTCGGCTCACTCCACCCTGCAGGGTTTAGCGTCAAGCCTCCAGAACCCCTCAGCCCAGCAGGGAACCTGCCCGGACCCTGGAGGGGAAAACGGGCCATAGCAGAACCAGGATGTCCAGGGATGGCCACGAGACAGCTCCGAGCACAGGCGTGAGATTGCACCCACGCCAGCCCTCTGGCCTGACCGACGTGCTCTGGGCCTTAACCTCCACTTCGGAGCACAGCAGGCGCCACCCCAGAGCGCCGTGGAGACGACCGAGCCGTGTGATGCCCCGTTGGGCACTGAACATGACTCCTGCCGTGGCGCGTGCCCAAAGGCTGTCGTTCCATCTGTTTGCATTTAGGCTTCGGTTCGGGTCCCGGGACCAGAGACGTGATTCTGAGCTCATTCCAGGGACTGGGCAGAGGGCAGAGGTGTGTGTCCGGGACTAACCCGGAGCCTGGGTGCTGTTCCAGCTATTTTCCTGCGGGGGGGGGGGCAGTGCTCAGCCCAGCGCGGTGGTCTGTCTGGGCGGGGAGTCTGCTGTGGGGGACCGTCCGGGCTTCCAGCATCTTTGCCACCGTTCTGGCCTCCAGCCAGCAGCCAGTGGCACTGCCCAGTTTTGACGACCAACGTCTCCAGATGTTGCCAAGTGTCCCCTGAGGGGCACAGTCCCCCTCTGTCCCTGTTGAGAAACTCCAGGCCGTGATGATGGAAGGGAGGGGGTTTGGGAGCGGGAAGTGGAGGAGGAGGGCCGCCCGCTCACAGGCCGCTTTTCTTGCAGGGAGGAGCCCATGGCCCGGCCCGCCCCCCGTGGTGCCCCCATGCTTTTCCTGGCCCTCCTGGTGCTTCTGGAGCTGAGCCTGGCGGGCTCCCTGGGACCTGGAACTCCTGCTCGAAACCTCCCTGCGAATCACCTCAGCCTCCCGGGCCCAGCACGATGGATGCCACAGGCCAGCCACCACCGCCGGCGGGGGGGCCTGGGCAAGAAGGATCGGGGTCCCCGTGTGCCTGGCTGGGCCCAGGAGGGAGCTGTGGGCACCTCCACCAGGCAGGCCTCCAGGCTGCCAGGGGCAGAGGTGCTGCCGCCCAGACAAAGTCCTGCTGGCCTGCTGCAGGACAGGAATCTGTTCCTGGGGTTGTCGCTGCCCTACCCCGAGAAGGAGAACCGGTCTCCGGGGAGGAAGCGCGGCAGGGAACACAAGCGACGCAGGGAGAGGTTGAAGCCGCACAGAGGTAGCTAGACTGGGTGGTGTCCTTCCACAGAAGGGAGGGACCGAGTGGGGGAGGGGAGAGGGCTCAGACCCAAATGGCCGAGGGAACTTCAGGGCTGGAGCCTGGGGGGGGAGGAGAGGGACCTGTGGCCACAGAAGCTCTTATCAATAGATGATCCTCCTAAGTCAGAAAGTTCTACTTGGTATCTGACCCAAACCTATCCTGCTGAGTAGAGATGGGCCAGTTCAGTGCCCTCCGAGAACACCGCTTAACCAGCTCTGAAGCACACAGCAGGGGCTGAGCCCTTAGTTTCTGACGCCAGACCTGCCCAGGTTCAGGTCTTGGCTCCACTGTTTACTGGCTGTGTGGCCCAGGGCAAGTCACCGGGATTTGCCTCATTTTCCCCCTCTGCAAAATGAGGATAATGGTCCCCATGTACCCTCAGTGTAGATTCGGAGACCGCTTGATATGTAGAGGGCTGAGAACGGTGCCTGGCAAGTGGCAGGGACAGTGAGCAGTTGTCACTGGTTTGCCAGCTTTCTCTCGATGCCAAATCGGTGTCCTCCAACCTGGACATAGATGTCCCAGGAGAGGCACCCCATCCTTATCCCTCCTGCCTCTGCCCTCTTGGTTTCCTGTGATGCTCCCCACCCCCCGTCAGCCCCCCTGGCCCTCCTTTAAGTTTCCTCCACGTTTGCAAATCCCCATAAGCATCTGGCCTCAGCCGCCCACTCCCTTTGCCCATTCGGTCTCTGAGCAAGCATTCCCAGCAGCTCTGCTCGGCTGGACCAGCCCCAGTCTCACCTGGCCTCCAGCCCACTGCCGAACCAGCTTCCCTCCATGTGACGAGGCTGCCCCTAGGGGCCGGTCTAGTGCTGCAAGCAGGGATGGGGCAGGGGCTGGGTAGCCGGAAGGTGGTGGAGCCTCAGACCCACCTTCCCCTGCAAATAGCTGGGGCATGCTTCCCCACCTGGTCTACTGAGACCCCCGCCCCCCGCCAAGTGTGTGCATGTGGGGGGAGGGGCGGGGAGTCTAAGCTTGGACTCTCAGCCTCCCACGCCTGGATGCTGGCATCCTTGAGGCCAAGGGAACACGGTGTGTGGATCCTGCTCAGTTCAGCTCCGGCCCCCAGTTCCAGTGGGCCAGTGGGGCCCTCCTAAGAGAGTGGGCAAGAGGAGGGGACTGCAGAGGTCCGGAGGCCAGGCCCTGCCCTGCTGACCAGCTGTGAGGCCTGGGAAATGAATGGAGCAGATTCCACGGTCCCTAAGCAGCCCTGCTGCTCCCGGGATCCATCTCTGGAGAGCAGAGTGATCCCAGCCGACCCGACCACCCTTGGAGTCAGATCTTTTTTTTTAAGGTTTTATTTATTCATTTTTAGAGAGGGAAGGGAGAGAGAAAGAGAGAGAGAAACATCAATGTGCGGTTGCTGGGGGTCTTGGCCTCCAACCCAGGCATGTGCCCTAACTGGGAATCGAACCTGCGACACTTTGGTTCGCAGCCTGAGCTCAATCCACTGAGCTACACCAGCCAGGGTAAAGTCAGAGCTTGCTGAGAAAGAAGAGGCCAGGAAGAGCCCGGCCCTTCCAGCTTCGCTCAAAGCCCCTTTGTCCCAAGCGCCCAAACCTGCCTAGTCACACCCTGCCTCGTGCCTGTGTGTCTTAGAAGGCAGCCCTGGTGGTAAAAAGTGCCGAGATTCTACACTCAGGCGTAGCTGGGTTCGAATTCAGACTCTGACCAGCTGTGTGCCCTCAGGCAAGTGTCTGAACCTCTCTGCTTGCGTTTCCTCCCTGGAGGATGAGACTGAAGGAGTGCCTTCCCGCCGCCCCCCGCCCCACCCAGAGCTGCTGCAGGGTCACGTAGTAATGCTTGTGAAGCAGGGTCGGGCCCGCCACGGGGCTGTCACACACAGTGGGGCCTCAGCACACAGGGTGATGATTCTCACCGCCTGGCAAGCCCTCCCTGCGTGTGAAAAGCTGCAGCTCAGCCTCACCCCCTCGCTCCCCTACTCAGACTGTACATCCTCGGGCCAGCCTCCTGGAGGCAACCCTGTCTGTTCCCACTTGCTGTGCATACACCCCCGGCTGCACCCAGCCAGCCCCGCCTTGGACTTGCCGGACCGTTGCCGCAGACCGAGAACCCTTGGGTGGTCTCCCCGGCAACACTGCAAGTTCCTCCAAGACTTTGCCTCTCGCCTCCCCGTCCCCGTCTCCACCTCCCCAGGGGAGTGAGCAGCAGGGATGTCTGCTGAGCCAAGGGCTTGTCAGGCTTGTCCCGTGCTGCCCGCCGCCCCTTGTTTGCAGCGGGAAATGTGGGTTCTGCTTTGGGCCGATACGGGGCGGCGAGCAGATAAAGGTCCTGTGTTTCCAACTCTGTGTCTCAGGCCGAGCCTTGGTCCGAGGCCCCAGCTCCCTGATGAAGAGGGTGGAGTTGTCTGAAGACCAGGCACCAGACACCACAACAGAGGAATCCTCCACCAGCCTGGCCCCGACCGTCCTCTACCTCTCCACCTTGGAGGCAGCGCCTGCCACAGAAGAGTCCCTGATCCTGCCTGTCACATCCCTGTGGCCCCAGGTAAGGGGCCTCCAAACGGCCTTGGAGCCAGAGGAGTCCTTACGGCCACATCATACAACCCCTCCTAGGACACGTAGGGAGACTGAGGCACAGGGGCGGGAGGGGATGGGCGGAGGCCCCTGGGGCGAGCTGGAAACCGGGTCTCCTGATGCCCGTCCAGCCCAGCTACAGCCTGGTGGGTACCCTGTCCTCTGAGGGCTGCCGCTGTCCAGCAGAAAGTGGTCCTGGGACTCACCCTAGGGACCGCCCAGGAACCCAGTGCCCGCTCAACACCCTGGCCTCTGCACCGAGAAGAGCGACGCCCTTGGGGAGAACTTAGATGCCCCAGAAAGTACAGGAAATTCCAATACTATGAAAACCCAGGTCCCCGGGACCCAGAATGAACAGGCATTCGTCAACACTTAGCACGTGCTTCAGAGCTTTAGGGCGGATGTATGGAGAGGGAGCGGGCAAGCAGGTGCGGCCAGGTCGCTACCGCTGGCAGGTCCAGAGGCAGGGACCGCGGGAGTTCATCGTGTCGTTCTTGCAGTTAGCGAGGTGCGCATTATGGCGCCTCTTCGGTAGCTTTGAAATATTTTCCAAAAATCATATCATTTAAAATGAGCAGTAACATCTGTGTGGAAGAAAAGCTTTATTTTTTTAGCAAATCTTTCTTATTCTCTTTCTTTGGGTCTTGCACCCCCTGAGATTCTGATAAAAGCTGTGGACCACCCCCATAAGTACGTGGCTCTCCCTGCTGTCCCAGTCCCCTTGAAGCCCAGCCACGGAGCGCCCAGCCCCAGAAGGTGCTTTTACTGCCCACGTCCTGCCATGGGCAGGTCCGGCCCTGAGACGGCTGGCCTGTGGCTGTGAGTGGAGTGGGGCTGTGGCCGTGGCCTTAGTGGGGAGCTGACAATTTCTGAAGGGGCAAGAAGGGGCGGGGAGGTGAACTCCCTCCACATGGGTGCAGAGCCCCTGAGCAGGCACGATTGCCTTCCCAGCCCCCACACCCCGCACCTGCTGTCTGCATGGGTTGCCTGTGGGCACCATTCTGCTCGACTGTCAGATGAGGCGGGCACCCCGGTGACTGGGGATTGCTGGGGCAGGGACCACAGGGGACTGTATTCTAGCAGAGGGTGAGCTTGCCTCCTAGGAGCCCCTCCCTCGCCCCCTGGCCCTGGGGCCCCACATTTCTGCTTCCACCAGTTGGGATCTCCTTACTCTCTCCTCTCCACCCCCGTTTTGCAGGTTCAGCCCCGGCCTGGTGGGGAGGTGATGCCCACGCTGGACATGGCTCTGTTCGACTGGACTGATTATGAAGACTTAAAACCCGAGGTCTGGCCCTCTGCCAAAAAGAAAGGTACGTCCACCTGCCTGCCACCCCTGCCTGGGCCCCCTCCCCTCCCCCACCATCCGTCTGTTCGTCAGCCCAGCCTGACCGACGGATGTCCAGAGTGGGGGATGGGTGGGGCATGCATGGAGTCCACACTGGAACGGGCACCCCAATGGAAATACCACTATTGAGAACTTGTCACATAGCCTGAAAAAAAAAATGTTAGGTCCATACTGCCGTTGACCCCATTGTAGAGAAGAGATAAGTTGAGGCAGAGTGTCCTAGCCACACGGTGGGGGTGGCACCTCAAGCACTCTGACACCAGCGTCCTGCTGCTTAGTCTCTGCTCTGCTGGGCCTTGGCTCCTGACCGCCAACCTTCTCGTCCCCAGAGAGACACCGGGGTAAACTCTCCGGCGACGGCAATGAAACGTCACTGGCCGAAGGGGAACCGTGCGACCACCACCAAGACTGCCTGCCAGGTACCGAACCAGCATCGCCCGGGCACTGGGGGACCTGGGTGGGGGTGGGGTGGGCCTTCCCGGGCACATGAGGGGGGCCTTGGGGTTCATGACCCTCTGGGGATCATAAGGGGGAACAGCTCCAGCTTCCACTTCCCTGAGAGTTGCTGTCACACTTTATTTAAATCCTCATGGCAACCCAGGGAGAGAGACCCCGTCACCCCCAGTTTTCAGGCAAGGAAACTGAGCCCCAGAGAGGCTGAGGGTCTCGGCCAAGGTCGCATAGCTGGGAAGTGGCCCACACCTGAACCTGCTGGGTAAACCACTGCCCCATGTGCTGCCTTAAGTGCTGGGGCCGCTCAAGGGCCAGTGTGACACGGGCCCAGGGTGACATCCTGAAGGTGCTAACCGCTCTCTCCACTGTTGGGCAGCAGTGCCCTGCAGGGGGAGACCCAAATGGCGCACCTCCCTGGTGGTGCCCCGTGGTTTACTCGGTGGCCGGAATAGTCTCCAAAACGGCAGCCGAGCCGGCATTTGGCCGTGTGTGAGCCCGACCACCGGCTCCCCGACCGGCTGTTTTCTTTCCAAACCGTTGTTTTCGCCCTGAGCACAGAGAGAAAAGGCCACAGTTTGGGCCACCTGGACAGTCACTCAGAGAGCTGGTTTGCGGTGGGCCAGGCTTGCCTCGGGAGACCTCCCTGTTTCCTGGGGGGCGGGGCTTCAGTTGCCCCATCTGTCCGAAGAGGACGCTGGTGCCGATGGTCCCGGAGGCCTCGCCCCCAGCTCCGAGCTGACTCCCCAATGGCGGCCCCTAGCCGTCCTGCCCGCTCTTCCAGGGAGGTGACCCCGCACCGCCTCCGCCCCCCTCCCACGGTCAATCACTCGCCCATCTGGGGCAGCTGGGGTCTCTGCCACCCGCCCGCCCGCGGGGGCCTGGGCCGTGACAGCCGTCAGTGGTTCCGGCTGGGAGCCCTGCGCACCAGATGGCCCCACCCCGCCAGGGCACGGCCCTGCCACAGAGATGATGGATCTCCTGTCCATTGGGGACCGCGCACGCCGGCCGGTGGGGCGGGCCCACTCAGCTGGGCTGACCGCGTGTGCTCGCTGTGCCGGCAGGGACCTGCTGTGGCCTGCGGGAGCACCTCTGCACGCCCCACAACCGGGGCCTCAACAACAAATGCTTCGACGACTGCATGTGTGTGGAAGGTGAGCCGGGGCCCCCGGGGAGGGGCCTCAGTCTCTGAGAACCACACAACCTCCCTCCCTCCGCGGGTTCGGCGCTGCGTGGGGGGACACGGTTCCCTGGCAGAGGGCGGGCCGAGGGGGGCCTGCGGCGAAGGCGGGGGTGGGAGAATCCCTCGGGAGCTGCAGCAGCGAGCAACGGCAGCTTTGCTCGGGGCCTTCCCAATCTGCGAACTCGTTCAGGCTGGGTTCCTGGCATCGCTTGTGAGATTTGCTTTTCTCACCTCTGAAATACAAGCTGGCGTGATCTCCCACGATCTGGAAGCGGGAGAAGGGAGCAGAGAGGAGCCTATCTCTTTAAATAAGATCAAACCTGAGAAGGCCCGAATTCTACCCCAGGGGAGCCTTCCAAGTGTGATAGCGGGGCTGGGGGTGGCTTTCCCCGCACGTCCCAGGGAAGAATGCCCTCGGCCAGCTACCCCTTTAACTACCCTGAGCGCCCGCCCAGCGCGGGAGGTGCCCTCCTGCCCAGGTGCACCCAGGTGTGCCCAGGTGTGCCGGGCTCTGTGCTAAGCACTTGACTCACACTATCCTCCTTAATCCTTAGTCCTTATGTCTCCTCAATCCTCACAGCCACCCAGGAAGGGGCTATTCTGATCCCCATTTTACACAACAGCAAAGGAAGGCACAGAGAGGTTATGTTTAAGTGACTTGCCCAAACGCACACAGCTAGAAACGTAGGGGAATCATTTCAGTGTTGTATTCTGAGAATTTTCAAACAATATGTTAAGTAGTCAGCATGATGAGCCCCCGCTGCCCAGTGCCCAGCTGCCCCAGTGACCAGCTCACTGCCGGTCCGTGTCGTCTCCCCCCTGCTCAGTGTCCCCCATTCCGGAATGATTCTGAAACAACTCCTGGGAGTTTAGAGATATTGCATCTGTGAATATTTCAGTCTATCTCTCAGAGATAAGGACGCTCTTAAAAACAAAATACCAAAGCCCTGGCCAGGTGGCTCAGGTGATCGGAATGTCCTTCCGTGCACCGAAAGGTTGTCGATTTCATTCCCAAGCAGGGCACAGACCTGGGTTGCGGGTTCGATCTGGTCGGGAGTGTGCAGGAGGCAACCAATCGATGTTTCTCCCTCTGTCTCACTCTCTGTCTCAAATCCATAAAAACATATCCTCAGGCGAGGAATAAAAAATAACAAGAATAAACAATAATTACTCAATATCATTCAATATCTCATTAGCGTTCATACCTCCTGAGTGGGGGAGTTTGGTCCCAGTTCCTCTATCAGCCAACCTGAGATACGTGCCCTGGTTTGGTTCACTTCAGCTAAAGACCGTCTGCTGTGAACGCCAGAACACTACCTAAGTCCAGTTATTCATTCATCCATTCAGTCAAGAAACACTTACTGAGTACCTACTATGTGCCTGGCACTGTTCTGGACACTGGGGATTCAGCAACTTAAAGAACCAGCAAGTTCTGCACCCACAGAGTCCATTCGAGTGACATGAGCAGACAATAAGGAAATAAATAGATAAAATGTCTTTATAAAGTGAGAAGGGCTGTAAGGAAAATGGTCCGGAGGCCTCATTAAAGGATGGACAGGAGTGGACAGTGGAGTCAGTCACCTGAGGATGTTGGGCTGCTGGAGGGGAGCCCCAGGTGAGAGGCAGGGAAAAGGCAAGGGCCTCGGGCAGCACTGAGGCCGGTGTGGAGGGTGGGCTGGGCACCTAGAGGCCCCAGGGAGGGTAGCAAAAGGCCCGGGGGCATGGAGGGGGTACTGGTCGGGAGGATCTCGCAGGCCCTTGTTTGACTTGTAATCAGACGGTGCAGGCGGGTTTTAAACGGGGGACTGACATGGTCTGACTTTGTGGTTAAAAGCTCCCTATGGCTGAAGGGCTCTGAGGGGCAGGAATGGAGACAGGAAGGACCAGCTGGGAGGTCAGAGGGGATGGGGGCAGCGGGGCCAGCTGGTGTGGGAAGCGGGGGGATGCTGGAAGCTGCTTTCTGGTACCTGCGTGCAGGGTCGGGGCCCCGTTTCACAGAGGAGATGACCAAGGTGCAGAGGGGGCAGGAGGCACTCCAGTCCATGGAGCCCGGAACCGCACTGGGGCCAAACCTCAGCCTTGGCCTCCAGGTCCAGCCCAGCCGAGTGAGGGGGGCTTGGCCCTACTGAGCTAGCTGCTCGTGCCTAGTTGGTGCCTGGCTGGGTGCTCAGTGGTGGCTCCTCTGCCCAGGAATCAAAATCAGTCCTTCCTCCCTCCCTTCCTCCCATCTTTCCTCCCTTCCTCCCTGGGCCTCCAGTGGGAAGGGACCACTTTCCAGGCATCCAAAGGGTATGTCTACAAACAAAGCCTCATCTGTTCATTTCCGCTGATCCCTCGCACTGACCGGTTCCATCCAAACCCTTGCCTCCTCCTCCTTGGAGACTCAGGCTCAAAAAAATGAAGAGCATAAGTGACAGTTCAGGCAGCTCCTTCAAGGCTGTGCAGGAGGAAGTTCCAACCGAGATGCCACCCCAGAGGGGTCCAGGGGGTGCCAGGAGCCCTCAGGAGGACCAGGAGTCCTTAGGATTCCCAAGATACCCCAAAACATTGAACACGGGGCTCAGGGCTGAAGTCCAGCAGGCGGGCCAGCCTGGTCTCTGGACGGTTCCAGAAGGGCTTCTGAAGTGGCTACCAACCACTCCTGCTCGTGAATCCCCTGCCTACTCCCGGGTACCACTTGTGTGGCCATGGGTCTGAAAGCCCAGTGACCCAGGTGTCAGTTCTAGGCCACTCAGCACACACTTCATAGAAGTCCCCTTATTCTCTTGACAGTGACATAAGTGGACCTTAAATTAGCAATGTCCTCTCTGTCTGCGGTCACTCCTAACGGGAAACGTTGGGATTTGCTCAGGCCACGCTGACATGCCCTTCCCCCACCATCCAGAGGACACGGCCTCAAATGAAAAGTGTATCTACCCATGGACCTCCGAGGGTGGCTGTGGCAGAGCGGAGAGAGCCACAGCCAGAAAGCCCTCCCACAGGTGCACCAGGAGGCCACGCCTACTTTGATTTGGGTGGGTGGGTAGGGGGTCTCTGAGACCTGAAGGCCACGAAGGAGCCAGCTATGCACAGGGCTTGGGGAGGGGTTTCTGGCTGAGAGAACGGCAGGCGCAAAGGCCCTGAGGCAGGAGATGCCTGGCTATGCGAGGGAAAGCAGGAAGACTGAAGTTAGATTTCCGTCTGAGTACAGTGGGGATCCTGGGAGGTTTTGTAGGGAAGGGCAGCACCTGCGGTCCTTTCAGAAGTCTTTCCTAGGCTTTTTTCCAAGCAGTGTGTTACCTCACATTAGCATGGTACACTTTTTACAACTGATGAACCAATCTTGATACATTATTATTCATTAAAGTCCATAATATAAGTGAGGGTTCACGCCTCGGGCTGTACGTTCTGTGGGTTTTTGTAAATGCTTAATGACGTGCATCCAGCATGACAGTATCGCGCAGAACGGTTTCACAGCTCTGCGCGCCCCCAGTGCTCCATCTGTTCTCCGTTCCCTCGCTCCGCATTCTGTAGAGGACGGGCTGGTTGTAGGGCAGAATAAAGAAGGGAGTGGGGGGAGGGTGCAGGGGCCCCAGAGGGTGTGTGTGGGAGGATGGGGAGGAGACTGGCGGGGGTGGGAGGCACCCCTGACCCTCTGGACTCCCTTCGCTCAGGGCTGCGCTGCTACGCCAAGTTCCACCGGAACCGCAGGGTCACACGGCGGAAGGGGCGCTGCGTGGAGCCCGAGACGGCCAATGGCGACCAGGGATCCTTCATCAACGTCTAGTGGCTCAGGTTGGGGCGACCCCCCGCAGGCCTGGGAACTGACCGCCGGAGGTTTGGAGAAGCAGGCAATTTGTGTATTAACTAGCAATGGGAGACCAAATCGGGGGGACCAGATGTCTGAGCCTGCAGGCTCCGGCCCAGGACCCGCAGTCCCAGGACGGGAGCCCTGGGGACCTCCCTTTGTTCAGGAGCGGAGCAGCAGCACATCCGCACCCACCATCCCTGGGGGACCCACACACAGGACCTCCGCAACAAGGTGCCCAGTTCTCCGCGATGGCAATGTCCAGAGTGCCCTCTACTGTCCGACCGCAGTACTGCAATAGCTTCGAGTTTAATTTGAAACATGGAAACGCCCTGAGATAGGGAACTCAAAGACAGCAGTTGAATAGCAGCACCTCTTCCCTACCAGGCACTGTGCTGCAAGCCGCATACAGTAGCCCATTTAGTCGTCACGTGACCTTCTCAAGTAAGCATCATCACCATTTCACAGGTGAGGACACTGAGGCACAGTTGAGTCCTATGACCTGTTCAGGGTCCCAGATCAATGCTCCTCAAACCTTAACCTGTGTACCAGCCCCCTCTGTATAGTGAAAACTAGGTTTCTATTCAGTCGATTCTGCCTTCCCAGCCAGCTCTGGGGGCCTGCCTGCCTGTGCTGCTGGCCCTCCCCGCCCCCCCACCCTGAGAGCACCCACCCATGCCTTCAGGGGTGTCCAACCTTTTGGCATCTCTGGGCCACACTGGAAAAAGAAGAGTTGTCTCGGGCCACACATTAAATACAGAAACAGTAACGAAAACTGATGAGCAGGAAAACGTTTTTAAGTAAATTTACAATTTTGTGTTGGGCCGCATGACAGCTGTCCCGGGCCCCAAGGGTCGGACACCCCTGCTTAAGGGATAGACGTGGAGCTGTGGTCAGAGCCCGGCCCAGGGTCGTCCAGCTCCACAGCCCGGTTCTTGCTTCCCCACCACTGAGCACGTGCTGTGGGCTCTCCGGGGCTGGCAGCGAGAGAAGTGTGCCCTGGTAGCCCCTTCGCTGGCGTGCAGCTGCAGTGACTGACCTCCCTCTTCCTTCCCTGGACAAATGGGCATCCTCTCGAAGACCAAACCAAACCTGCGCTGAGCACCTGCTTGTTCGTGAGGCATGCTACGGGCAGATGGGCCCCTGCCCTCTGGGGGCTGGCATCTGGAGATTCGACGGGTTCCTGAGATTCCTCTAGCCCTGCTCCCCCAGGCCTGGGACATGCAAGTTGGAGTTGCCCCCCGCATCGCCTTCCACCCCAGGGGTTCTTCAGCTTTGGTAGTTTGAGCCCTTTGAGAATCTAATGCAGCCATGGACTCGAAAAAGCACACGCATTGCCCACGTGCTTCCACTTTGCTATTTCGTGGTCCTCAGGCCTCCTGGAGACCTTGCCAGGACCCCCACCCCACACTTCTGCCACAGAGCCCGCTGAGGAGTTGGGGCACCTCTGACGTTGAGGTGCTTGAAGCTAACTGCTCCCACAGGCCAGACCCATGATGCGCACTCAGAACATCTCTCCACTCGGAGCTGGCTCTCAGGGGCAACCTGGATGCTCGACCCCACCTGGCACCTCACTCCTGGTCAACCCTCTGGCCCAGGGCAAACCAGGTCTCAAATGACAAAGGCCCCACCCATGCAAATTCTTTGCAGGCCTGGACTCCTGCAGGAGGGAGGGGCCCCGCCCCCAGGATGCCAGGGCTGTTTACTCCCCTGGGAAAATCGGTCGGGGTCAGGGGTCTGGCACCAGTGAAGGCAGACTCATCTCGCAGAAACCAAATATGCTTGCTCTTTCCTGCTCCTCAAGTTCGATGGGCAAGGGACCCTTGTGGGGTGGGGCGGGGGGACTGAAAGAGATCAAAGCCAGCTCTTTGGAAATCGAACCCTCTATCGGTCGGCAGTTTTGTCTGTTGGAGAGCTGTGTGTGCCTCACGTGAAGGGGCTGATGGGAGATTGTGATACAGCCCAGAGGGTGTGGCTGCAGGCAGGAAGCCCAGCGTCAAGTCTGGGGGCAGTGGTTAGATGGCCCCAGGCGTCAGCAGTGGAACCCGGAAGGTCAGGACAAAGCTGAAACCCCCACCCCACGGAACTCTCAGTGACCACCAGGGCACGTGGGAATTCGGGGCCTAGTTATCTCACTTGCCCTGGCTACCTCCACGTGGGGTTTGCAGAGGGGATGGGGGTGGGGGTGAAATCCTCTTATCTCCAGATTTAGCGATCCCAAGGCCCCCTCAGTATTTAACAAACCTCTCTGCCTTAGGGTCTGTCTTAGGTCCTAGTTCTTCCTTAGGTCTATCTTAAATTCCTTCTGCTGGTACAGGAGCCACTTTCCTCCAATCCAGGGTTTGGCAGACTTGACCGTGAAGGACCAGATACATATTTTAGGCTAGGTTCCATTGAAACTCCTTATGACACAGAGATTTGAATGTCGTATACTCTTGACATGTCACAAGCTGCTATTCTTCTCTTGGTTTCCTAAAGCACATTTAAAAATGTAAAAACCTCATGTAACTTGGGGACTACACGAAAATAGGCAATGGGTTGGATGGGCCCCCCAGGCCGCAGTTTTCGGGTCCCCGCTCTAGATGCAACCTGGGCTGCACGGTAGAATAATCTGGGGACTTCCAAAGGCGCTGCTGTGCAGGGTCCACCTGCAAAGATTCTGGCTTGATTGGCCTTCGTTGTGTGTGGGCTCCCCGTATTTTCAAAGTTCTGCAGGCGACTAAGGCGCAGCCGGGCCGAGGGCTGCTCTTGTCCCACTGACTGGGGGGCGTGGAGCCAGTGACCAAAGGCCTGCTGCACCCCTCACCGCCATCGTGACCTTAGAAAAGTTCCTTAAGGTCCCCGTGCCTTGATTTCTTCATCTGTGTAATGGGAACAATAACTCTTTCTTCATTGTGGGAGGTAACCACCAAATCCTTATAACGTGTTTTAAACAGTGCTGGGCACATAATAAGCCCCCAGGGTTTGAGAATTTATTTTCTAGGATCATTTGAATAGGTGTCCTGTCCTTTGCTAATGATATGTCACACATTCAGAGATCATTTCCAAGTCAGCATCAGGCTCCTTCCCCAAAGTGTATCCCCCAGAAGGCTGGGGCCCGGAGATGCTCCATTAGGAAAGAGGATGGGGGCGCGGTGTTCCGTGGTCGCAGAGGTTTGACAAACTGGTACAAACTGCTCTGGACTCGTCCGAGGCAGCAGACTGGGCAGGGCTGGAGGTGTGGGTGGCTTTGAGATAACAGGTTCACGGGTTTTTAAAAATATGCTCCGGGGGCGGGGGAGCCGAGCAGGGGCCAAGTGGACACCCGTAGCCGCTGGGACAGTCACCTGTGCCCTCCTGCATTCCTCCTGTGGAGTCTCACACGGTTCCCCAGAGATACCCGCCATTCCCACGGGCTGCCTTTCCCCGCTCTGTCTGGTGACGCCAAGCCAGGCTCTGTCAGGCTGCCGGGAGTGCCCTGAAGGTCAGAGGACACAGGAGCCCAGCCTCCTGGGGAAGTGACAGCTCCACTTGCCCTTTGGGGAGTAACTGAGATACGGGTCCAACCGCAAAGCCACGAGCCCTTCCCCTGCGGAGAGGCTGCAGGTGGGTCTTCCCTGCAAGCCGTGTCCATCACACCCCACAAAATCAAGGGTTGGGTGGTGGGCACGCAGCCCCCTGGAGTGGGATCCCCCGGCAGCCAGAGGGAGAGACGGCGAAGACCCAAGTAACCTGCGGGGAACGTGTTTGTAAAACAGGACAGCGAGGGAAACCGGGTGCTGGGAGCGAGGGGCCGAAAAGCAAACTCTTTCGGCTCCCAGTTCTCACGGGAGGCTGGGAGGAGGGTATGAGAGTGTGTGTGTGTCCTGGTCGGGAGGGGTGGCAGGCGCTAGCGGCTGGCTCACATTGCCACGGGTGTATCTTCTGCATCCCATGTCAGGGCGGGTGCCGGGAATCAGGATCGGTGGCCTCTTCCTGGCCCCTCCTGACTCCCGCTGTGCCCGACCTGGGAGCTGCGGAGAAATGCAGGACCCCCCCCCCCGGGGCCCCACCTGCTGCGTCAGAATCTCCGGGGGTGGGGGTCCAGCCACGTGAGTTTTAACAAGTTCTCCAGGCCATTTTTACGCAACGTAAAGTGAGAGACAGGTCTAGGACACAGGGACGTTTGGATGATTCAGGGGCGTTTACATTCAGGTGCAGGTGGGCAGTTCGGTTTGCCCAGTTGATAACCCGCGTGAACGCGCAGGCTCTGAGACCCTGCCTCCGGGGCTGGAACTGGTCCTTTATTTTTAGAGAAAGTCAGGTGGGGCACCTGGGCCTGGGGCCCTCCGCGCTGGCCGTTCTGACTCCCTGGAACTCCCCTGGGGGTCGGTGGTTCCTCCTGACAGTGTGGGACAGCAGGGGCGGGGGAGGCGCGAGGCCCTGCGGTCCCGTGTTGCATGTGCCCTCCTGAGCTGTAAATAAAGAGACGATGCTTACTAAGCGGACTCCTTGTCTCTCTCTGCCCCTCCAGGAGGTGGCCTGCCCGTGCAGGCTGAGTCTGGAGGGGACTGTAAGCCCGTATTTCCCCCTGCCACTGAGAGTCTCATCCATTCACGCACACCTTTGACTGAGCCTTCGCCGCCAGCTTAGCCGTAAACAAGGCAGAAAGGGTCTCTGCCCTCCCCCGGTCCTCCTATCTTTACCTCCCTCCCCATTGTCGGGCTGGGGCAGCTCAGGTCCCCAGGAGACTACCAGGCTGCTCACAGCAGGCTGGCCTCCAGCAATGTCATTCCGGGCCCCGGTGGCCCGAGAGCAGAGAAACAAGGTGCCACACTTTGCAGGATGGGGAACAACAGAGTAACGCCACCGAAAGCCCGGCCTGGGCAGGCTCCGATGCCACCTTAGGACAGGACATGAACTGGGCAAGGGGGTGGCCTGGCTCAGCACCAAGGAGGACGCTTCTTGTCTCAGTGGCCGCTGCAGCGAGCACCGGTCAGCTCACTGACCTTGCATGACCC